TATTTTAGGTATAAATATGCATAAATATGTCACTCGTTTATCTCGTCTTTGATTGGTCTAGCTACAGCTACATGCAACCACTTATCTAGGCAATCACTGCTATTGCATTTGGAAATAAAATTTAAAATTTCCTTTAAAAACCTCTACGTATCTATCTACCAGGAAAAAACCAGGCTATTATATTTTGACATGTGCATTATCACACTTAACACGTAAGCTGAACCGACCTTGGGTTTGCGAATATGTACTTTATCAATAAAACGTCGATATTTTATCGTTAAATCAACACAACTTACCAAAGCTCTTATCAATATTAAGGTTAAACTTAAAAATAGACTTACTTTAGTTAGGTTATTTTTTCTTTCAATTACTGTTAATTCAATTTATATAAACACTGTTTAATACGCCTTGTAGCATCACTACACTAGTTCTGGTTCACAAGTTAAGCCTTCGATACTGTTAACCATACCTTTTTAAACCTTATTAAGCTAAAAGGCTTTTGTACATATTACAAACAGAACAGTAATTATCTTTTTATGTCACCATAGATTCAATGAGTTGATAAAGGCAGGCGGGTCATACACCACACCTAAGTTATGACGTGGTGTCCCTCAGGGTCCTGTGTTAGGGCCTGTGTTCTAATTATTGAAGCTGCGTTTAGCTTTAGAGTAGCATTTTCTGTGAAACACGGTAATTACTGTAGGTAATTTCGCATAAGGACAACAGTCGATTGTCAGACAATTTTTATTTGTAGAATAAAATAAATATCTGTTTTTTTTTTGTAAATAAATTGTTAAGAAATTAAAATTAATTCTTCAGTAACGTTATCCCCGCGGAGGACTTAACGAGTTGCAGGCGCTCCAACTCGAAAGGCAGGAGTAGGAACGGGATGGTTTTTAGTCAGTAACAGTCTGACACTCCCTTTCGCCTCACCCGGGCGGGAAAAAAGTAACGTTAACCCCTTAAAAAATGGCGTTGGAAAAACAACCCTTATAATATTTTGATTAGTTAGTCTACTGATTTGTTATAATGTACGGTTGGAGCAAAGGCTGAGCAACTGACTGCTGTCCACCGTGGGTTAACTTATGGGGTTATCGATTTATATACATAGAACAAATAACTTTACATACTTAAAATGAAACTTTATTGTTTCGCTTGCAATACTTCACATCCCCTAAAGCAGTGGTTCCCAAGCGGTGTTTCGTGGACTACGAATGGTCTGCAGAATACAAAAAGAAAAGAAGACAAAGGAATGTAAAAACAAACACAGGACTACTCTGTCCAATAAATGACATGGTTGAACCTCAAATTAAACTTGTACCGAAAGAGACAAATGAGAGGAGCAACAGATTTCAATAATCAAAAAGTCACTATTTTTATTGAGTAAATGAAAAAATCTTAGTATAGGATCTAATGAAAAACATAATAAGTGGACCCTAACTCAACAAAAATGATGAAAGTGGTTCCTGACCAGGAAAAGGTTGGGAAACCCTGCCCTAAAGTTTCACCACAGTACTGTTTAATTCTCTATAGGTTTCCGCCACTCACACATAGAAGTTTGTCCTTATGACATCGCATTTAACAGTGTTATCAGTCGGACGCCAGCAGTCAATATGTCCAGTTATTACTGCTATAAAGTGGGCACCGCATAGTAATTAAAATCGTTTTTATTTCATTTTTAGTTTTTTAGTGAAGTTCTATTTTTGTGCGGTGTTCTTTAATTTTTTCAAGTGCTTGTGTTATACTTCAAAAGCAAAAAGTTATTGGAAAAGTGCAATAAAATTTTGTGCAAGTAATTTAGAATTCGGTTAGGAAAAATGCTTTGTTTGTGTGAATTTTAATACCTAATAATTTGGGCCAAATGTTAAATTTCAATCCCCCACGAATACTTACTACTTATGAATAGTTTAAAGTCGTCACTGAAATCGATAGTTATTCTCATCAAGGACGCGCGACATCTAAACGCTGATTTATTACTTTCTTTAGCTTTTAAATTCAACACAATTTAACTTGATTATCATTGCGATAGTTTTAATTGCCTTTTATCGGTATATTTAATTGTTCAGAGGGATACCGATTAAAATAGATATTTCCTCGTTTTCCTACTAAACAACATCCATTAGTTCAAATATAGCAATAGACTGAAGGAAAACTGGCCCTACTAGTTAATAATGAACAGTAAATAACAAAGCATTACGAACCTATTAAGGCATCATTTCTGAATCAAGCGACCTTGCACTAGAACACTGAAAACCCGGTTAATGAACATTTATTTAAGTAAATCACTACCGCCGTACCAGTTACTTCCGAAAACTCGACGTACGAACACAGACGAACGAAAATGGCTAGCGAAATAACGGAAGATACCTTTGTGAAGCTAAGCAAAGAGGAGGTCGGATATCTAAAGACTTTTTATTCCACCGCTACAGTCTCCAACGCTGCAGAAACGTGGAAAAAGAAATCAGTCTCAATAGTATCTCCAAAATCTGGCAGAATATTGAGGCAGAAAAAAGATGGAGAAAAGAAAACAGAACAGAATGGCAAGGAGTCTTCCGGATTCTTTACGAGAATGTTCGAAGACTTCAGAAAAGCCAAAGTCTCTGATTACACCTACCAACAATCAAATGTGCGAAAAAATAGTTCTTACAAACCTTTTTGGGCCACAAAAGTTGAGGAGCCGAAAACGAAATGTATAGAAGAACCAGAAATGTCTACCAAAAAGATTGAAGCAATGGAACGAAGTAATGCACTGACTAACAAAAATATGATTTTCTCTAAAGAAGTGATTGGGTCTCCTAAAGTTACATTGACGAACGTACGTAGCAAGGAGACGACGCCGGCTAAGAGGCTCTCAACTGTAGACCATCATAAGGAGTACAGGCTGAGGATGCCCCCCAGTTATAATGGCAGCAAAATGTTCATGCCCACTGGTGAACAACTGTTTTGGGTTTGTAATTTACTTCAATATTTTATTATCTATCTGGAGAGTTATTTCACTTTGTGCTCGTACGAACCTTTAATCTGTCTTGATTTGGTGTTCCCTCTCCCAATGAAAGCCTTCAGAAAATAGGAATCTTGCCAAATAAGACGAATTTAGGTTTAGACTTGATGTCGCCATTCCTAAAACTTTTGCTTTATTGTTGCCAGAATGGTGCTTAGGCAATATTTATATTTCCGTTTCGGTTATTTATTAGACTGTTTGAATAATATGTATTTGGATATAGGTACGATTAAATTATGTTGCTCATAGTAAAGCAAGAAAGAAATAAAATGGTAGTTATGAATATTACAGACTGTGTCATCATCTGAATACTGAAAGTAACATGTAAGGAGTAGGTAATTATAGACTTAATGAAGATTATAACGCTATACTTTTCTTAATCAAGAACATTTTAGTCTTCAAGAAATCTTCTGCTACTCTAGTAGTTTTGAAGATTACAAACGAAATCGATAAAATAAACGGTTTTGATAAGCACGTGTGAACAATAGTCTAACGGCCATTGATTACGGTTGTATGAGACAATAGAACATACATTATGTCTATGTATATCCATCCGTTCATATCGTATCGGAAATAAATAACCGACCCCAATCCAACAATAGTTTAACATCGATTTTTGACATTAGTTGTATGGAGTTACTATCAAAAACTTAAATCGATACAGAGAGTTTCATTAAATAAAAAATTAAAATCGATTAGTTTTCGTAGTATGAAAATAGTGAGTGAATAGGTTTCTTAAGGGTCGGCAAGCAAGACGCATGTAATGCCCCAATTTTGCAAGCGTACATAGGCCGGTAACCGCTTACCATCAGATGGGCCGTGTGCATTTTGCCACAGTCGGGGTATGAAAAAAAAAAACATTATTCATAGGTAATATTCATACTGCAAGGTGTGAAATTTATATTTGTTAATTAATCTCCATTATCTTGTATTAGAGATTTCATTACCTTTATCTAGGTGTTCATCTATGTAGAAAGCGATGGTTCTGAACAAATCTACTTAATGATAAGACGGTAATTATAATAACATTCCTTTTATGGTATTTCTGAAACGATGCGACCATCAAACCTTAAAAGAGTATACTCCTTTTTAAAAAGGTCGGCAACGAACTTGCAGCTCCTCAGAGGGTTTAGTATGATTTTGTTTTAGCGAGATAGAAACGTTACCGCGTTCAGCGCTCTGATTGGCCTGCTCCAATGAACCGACCAATCAGATCTCGTTAAACGTAAAACAAAAGTCAGAGTAAGCTCGGTGTTGGTAGTGTCCTTGGTCGGCGCTGGCCCCCCTTACAATCAGGGATCCGTCTGCTCGTTTGCTCTCTACAAAAAAACACTTATTAGCTATTATATATTACTAATGGAACCCATTATCAGGAATAATTCTAATTAAATTGCGAAAACTAAATCTTTGTTTCAACAGTGGGGATCTGCACAGCTGAACTGTGAATTTAGATTTTCCCTATAAAACAATACCTATTGAATGCGTATGACATTGGCAACATAAGTTTGCACTTTGAATTCACACGAATAACAATAATATAGGTAATAATACTATTTGTAAAGTTAGTATTTACAGTTCTTATCGTACGATAATGACCTGGATCACACCATCACTCAAAATGCGCTTACCGAAACTTGGTTTTGTGGTTTGCGTAGGTGCATCAACATCAATCATAAACCAGCCTTTATTTACTCAGATTTTTGCCGTTGTTGCCGATTCAGATGCGATATCAAATTTCATACCTAGAATAATTCAAATCAGACTTGTAGTTACAGAGATTAGCGCGTTCAAACAAAAAAACAAACTCTCTTAGTATAGATACGCGCACATCTTCCAAACGATAATCCCAAATTCGATCATTTTATTTGTCTTAGTACTATTACGGTGTTTTTATTTAGCATTTGTTTACCTTCATGTATTACCCAAAAATAGATTCAACTATCGGAGTACTCACATTACAAAATATCAATCATATCAATTTTAATTCTTTTGCTTCCAGCTCGGTGAGACCCGTCCATCAAACTTTGGTCCGTCTACGTATCAAGACTTCAAGGAGATCAGGGCTCGTTGCTACTCCGAAGGCAGGCTGTTCGAGGATCCTGAGTTCCCAGCCAATGACCGCAGTCTTTACTATAAGGAGAGACTCGATAGACCAATCACATGGCTACGTCCTAAGGTAACTTACTGTTTTCTCTACAGAACCAATCTTCATTTACCTGCATACTAAATAATTTTGCTTGTATCCTGACGTACCTTTTACGAGATATTATTAGGAGTGCTGACGCCTGTTTTTTTCATGGAATTACTCATAACAACAAATAATTTGGAATGTCCTGATTAACATTCATTTTCCATTTAACAATACAAAGAGGAAAGTTACATATTTATCAACAGATTAAATAGTTAATTACACACTCTCACTCGCAGATAAGGCGATTCGCAGAAAAATCTATTGAACGAATAAGCCTTCACTTAAAAAAGGGACTTTCCCGTATATCCCCCAAGCGGTCACCGGTGACCGCTCTCCACTATGTACTTATATATGAACAAATATAGGGGATCATTTTCAACAGTTTTCAACGGGTTCTCGCGGGCTAAAAATTAAACCGTCCTAGTATTGCATAAAAAAATAAACAAAGGTACAAAGCAATTATCGAAAATGTCATGTCTAAAGTTAATAGTATGTAGTTAATTTAATTGTCATGGAATTGAGGCAATTTGTTACTCGTAGATACTTTAGGTGACTAATATGCAGACTGGCAATGGCGACCGTTAATGGATTTCGTACACTGTTGTATGTCTGGATCATTCCAATTATCAGACCGCTGAGTAGTGGAAGCCCTTGCCAGTGCTTGTGTTTCGTGGAGGATGTCTTCACCTGGGTGTCTTGAAGGCCCAAATGAATAGGTTGCTTATGAGCATGTTCGATAGTAGGCTAATCATCGCTTACCACCTCGCGAAATAGAGGCCAAACGCCCGACATCATAAAAAAGAAAAAGATATATACATGTGTATCTGAAAACTAGCTTCTGCCAACGGTTTCACCCTCGATATCATGATAAAAAGTATCATAATAATATGCATCAACCCGGACTCCGAACTATACATACTTATGGCAAATATTCAGATTGATCAATGGTTTCTGCGTGAAAAACGTTTGTTAATAAAATAAAATAAAATTAGCCGCTGCTGTTTAAACTTGCAAACATGAACATCAATTAATAATAGTAATTCTGGACCGGCGTGGAAAGCTTATGTTACTTTGTGTTAAATGCTTTGTTTTTCGTTTCGCAGGAGATTTGCGATGACCCGCAACTGTTCGTGGAGGGCTACAGTCGTTTCGACGTCCAGCAGGGAGAGCTCGGCGACTGCTGGCTGCTGGCCGCCGTCGCCAACCTCACGCTGCATAGAAAGTAAGCTGCTACCTCATTATTATAATTGAACGAACGTAATGTATATGTATCAAAATTTCGTGAGACATACTAAATTAATTATTATGTTTTCGGCTCACTCACTTACGTGAGTATACGCGAGTTCAAGCCATGCTAGAGGCTTATATTCATGAGTAGCATTACGCGACTCGCGATGCGGTTACTGTTTTCGCTTCGGAATAATAATAATTAAAATTTAATAATTTATTTAACGTATAATGTAACTAAGAAATTTGCTATATTTCTTATTCATTTCATTTTCAACTTTTTCAAAAGGATACTCTTTGTATTTTTCTTCTTTCAATCCTTATCCATCTTTAGGTTGCCTGAGGCTGAAAGAGTTCGCTCTAAGCGATAAGGCCGCCCATTGCACAACATATACTTAAATGTTTTATTTCTTTCTAACAATGTACAATAAATATTTTATATATCTTTCTAGTGCAAAGTTACTAATTAAGACTTTTAAGAATCAGTTCCGTAGTTGTTTTAGTAAAAATTCTATTCTTTATATTCCAGATTGTACTTCCAAGTAGTGCCAGATGACCAGAGCTTCGATGAGGAGTATGCTGGAGTCTTCCATTTCCGGTAAGACGAGCCCATAATATAGGAGGATTTAATCCCCGAAAGCCCATGTAATAGGCTAAACCTCCGTTAGGTTGAGCCTGTTACCTGAAAATTTAGAGCAGAATGGGGTTTACCGTGTTTTGGCATTAGATGGCGCTAGTGTGACCCTCTTGTCTCTAATAGGAAATTAACTAGACTCACGCCATTGGACGTTCAGTATTTGACAAGTGCTATGATTGGACAAAAAAATGTCTTCCTACATTTACGTCACCTGGTGACTAAAAATACGATATTCGCCATTTCAAGACAGTGTGTAGCAATAAATAACTAAATAGGAAAAGCCTGATCCTTGTAAACAGCGGACACTAGCCGGCTTGCCAAGGAGATTATGCCAACCCCTCTTTTATAGAGGCCCATAGTCCAACAGTGGATGTTCGTACTCTGTGTAAGCTGTGTAAATTATCATTTTTTAATGCACGACTTTTGACTGCACGGTTGGTGCGGTGGCTGGGTAACCGGCTGCCGTGCAACGTGTCGCTAGTTCGATTCCCGCACGGAACAACACTTTGTGTGATCCACAAATTGTTGTTCCGGGTCTGGGTGTCATTGTGTATGTGAACTTGTATGTTTGTAAACGCACCCACGACACAGGAGAAAATCCCAAGGTGGGGCAACGTTTTTTAAAAAAGGAAAAAAGAAAAAGAAATGTTTAGTAGTGGCAGTCTTGTGGCTGATACAAGGATTATAATTAATCATCAATGTTATTCTTTTTACTTTTTTGCCAAATAAATGGTTTTTCAAGGTCTAGATAATGTTTCGTTTAGACCAAAAAAGCACTTTTGAACTTCACATAAGATACAAAGTGTCCTCTAGTGAAGCTAAGTGCTCGGTCCAATGTGTAGATTCCTATGGAGAAGAACGAGCAAGAAACTCAATTTTTATTTCTTTCTCTCACCATGTTTTTGTTAATCCCCAGTTTCTGGCAGTACGGTCGTTGGGTGGACGTGGTGATAGACGACCGGCTCCCGACGTACCGAGGCAAGCTCGTCTTCCTTCACTCCTCCGAGCAAAATGAGTTTTGGAGTGCACTGCTTGAGAAGGCATATGCCAAGTAAGTAGTTTAGAAGAGAAGAGAAAGAGATTGAGGTAGAGTGTATGGGAGAATGTTCTATTTTTGTATAATAACTTTATTTTATACGGCATTTCTTCTCAGAGTAGTCAGTTAGGAAATGTCGACCTCATCGTTCGCTTGATAAAATTGACGTGTAAAAGTGCTGCCTTGTAACCTATTTGCAGAAATAAATTCACTCGTTTCACTTGTTTCACCTGTTTCACTTGGTATAAGGCAGCAAACGAACAGTCGGTTCACCTGATGGTAATCAATCAGCGCCATCCATGGATACCCGAAACACTAGAGGAGTTACTAGTGCGTTGCTGGTCTTTTGTGAATTTAGGAAAGGCTAAGTAAGTAAGGATTTAAGAAATTGGGGGCGGGGGGGGGGGAGAAGCCTTGGATCTCCGTTTATTTCACACACGTAGTGAAATACAACGCAATTATTGTTTCACGCCGGCTTTTCTGCTCGGCCGTGGTATCACTCCGGTCGAACCATTCCATTCTTGTCGAAGCATGACTCTCACTTAAAGATGATATTGTTATTTTTTTATTGTCTAATGATGATGCCTTTTATTTATTTGTTGATGATTTGATACGATTATGTATAATTTCAGATTGCACGGTTCCTACGAAGCTCTAAAGGGTGGTTCGACATGCGAGGCCATGGAGGACTTCACCGGAGGAGTGACGGAGATGTACGATATAGCGGAGTTACCTCCCAACTTCTACACTATACTGCTCAAAGCGTACGAGAGGAACTCTCTCAGCGGATGCAGTATTGAGGTAAAATATTTGTACAATGGTTATACAAGCTTTTATTTAACCTGTAATGTATGTATATGACTGCCTCGTTGGCCGAGTGGTCGCAAGTGCGACTGCCGTGCAAGGGATCTCGGGTTCGATTCCCGGGTCGGGCAAAGTATTACTGGGTTTTTAAAAAATCTCAGTAGTAGCACGGAGTCTGAAATTGTGCCCGGTATATGGCAATAGGCTCACCCCCTATTACATAGGACTCATAACATAAATAGTGGAAACTAGGTGTTACATTGTACAGCGGTATAATGTGCACCTCTGCCTACCCGTTCGGGGATAAAAGGCGTGATGTAATGTGTTATGTTATGAACTTCCAGCCGGACCCGAACATCTTGGAGGCGGAGACCCCGGCGGGTCTGATCCGTGGCCACGCGTACTCCATAACGAAGGTGAAGTATGTGGACATCGAGACCCCCGGCCGCAGCGGGAAGATACCTCTGCTGCGACTGCGGAACCCGTGGGGGAATGAGGCCGAGTGGAATGGACCTTGGAGCGATAAGTATGTTTATCATTATTTTTTATTATCTATATGTATTTACTCACTAGTTATTTCCGTCCGCGCGGTATTACCCGCTCTGTATATTAAATATCACCTATGTTTACCAATGATTTGAATTGCTCTATTTTTTATGGGAGAAACCGATATATATACGAGCTGACAAATTACCTGATGGTAAACAATCGGCGACGCCCTTGGCCACCCGAAACACCACAGATGTTGCAAGAGTGTTACCTGCCTTTCGGGGATTAGGAATTAGAGGAATGTTGGGGATTCAGGGATTGGGGAGATTGGAGAAGAATTTGAAGATGTCCATAAAACACCAAGATTTTTTCAATTCAGACAGACCAGTAGCAGTTCCTGTGATTAGCGCGTTCATATAAACAAACAAACAACCTCTTAGCTTTATGTAATAGTATAAAATTATTATATTAAGCTTGTTTGTTTAAATGCGTTAATCTCTGTAACGACTAGTTCGAATTGAATAATTATCTTTGTATTGGTAATCCATTTATCGAGGATGTAGTCTATAAAACAACAAGGTACGATTAATAAAGGCGGAACAGCGGGCAAAAAAGCGCGAGATTAGCTAGTTATACTATTCTTGTGATTCGCGATATTTATATATTTATTATAGACCTTCTTCTGGAATCACTATCAGTTAAATAAAATCATATCAAAACCTGTTCCATAGTTTTAAAGATCCAAGCATACATGTGTACTGACAGTGAAAAATAATATTGTTGTATACTGTGTAATGATTAAATAATAATCATGCTGAAAATGAAAAATAACAATAATATGTTAACAAAATGTCGTCCACAGGTCACCAGAATGGCGATTCATACCGGAATCTGAGAAGGAGGAGATGGGACTCACGTTCGATGATGACGGAGAGTTCTGGATGTCCTTCAAGGACTTCGTTAACCATTTCTCAAGGTAATTTACTATCTTTTTACTAAAGATTTAACGCCTGTTATACTACCTTGACATAAGTACTCCATAAACATATGTGGCAGGTAGTTCATACAAATGTTATCTTATTAGACTTTGGTTTTCTTTTTTCTTTATTAATATTATACAGGGTGTCCAAGAACCTGGCGTCCAACTGGATTCCCACGATGCCCCAAGTTCTAACAGTACTCAGAAAAATATTTTAAAAAATCCACCCCATGTACTTACAGAATTATACTGATTTCAAAAAAAAAGGGGAAATGAGCACCCTGTGACATACTTTTGAATGCTGTGACTGCTAATGCTGATAATTTCGATATTTCTTGGAGGTTTTGTAATCTAGGGTATTGCTGTGTCTAAATAGAATGTAAAAATAAAGTACTTATTGTACCATTTTAAAATAAAATATTATTTTAACTAAAGGTGATATGGAAAACTATTGAATTTCGCAACTTTGACCGACTGTAGTGTAAAAAAAATGTACCAAAATAGTATGGCAAGTGACGTCAAATTTTGACGCGTTTATTCCTCTTTTTAAAAAGGTATAATACTTACACATTAATTTGAAAAAAAAAAATTTTGATAATATTTTTACTCAACAACCCAATTTTTACGAAGTGCCTACCTACTAACGGTAACTGTCGGACCCTTTCTTATCTTAGAAACTGTTATGTTACTACTATTATTTACTTCGGTTCCAAGAGTGAGCAAGAAGGAAATACACACAGGTAGATGGGTTCCCAGTAGAATAAAAGCAAAGAATGTTAGTTTAAAGATATTTTATTACAATAAATGTTCAAAATGTTGACCACCCGCGGCAATACAAGCTCTCACTCTCCTTAAAAAGGACCGCTTTATGTTTCGCGAGTAACTTTTTTGACGTATCACCTGCACTGCTTGTGTTATCTTCTCACGAAGGTCAGCGATGTCATTAATGGGCTTCGCATAAACGAGCTCCTTCATAGTTCCCCAGAAAAAAAAATCCAGCGGATTTAAGTCAGGTGAGCGGGCTGGCCACGGGATTGTTCCTGATCGCCCAATCCACCTGTTCGGGTATTGCTCGTCCAAAAACTCTCTAACGGATACGCGAAAATGTGCTGGACAGCCGTCGTGTTGGAACCACATATCTGGTGGGGTCTCTTCTAGTAAGTTTGGCAAATCATTTTGAAGAAAATTTAAATATGATTCGCCAGTCAAATTCTCGGGCATCTCAAATGGACCAATAATATTCCCACAGAGAATACCGGTCCACATGTTCACTTTGAACCGGTACTGGGATCTATCTTCTCGCATCAAGTGCGGATTTTCCACATGCCACTCGTGCAAGTTGTGTAGGTTCATGTAGCCATCCTTCTTAAATGTTGATTCATCTGACCACAAAATTTTGTCGATAAAGTTTTCGTCTTCTCGATGTTTTTGCAGGATTGTTTCACAAAACGCGACTCGGCTCGGATAGTCTCGAGGTAAAAGACTTTGCACTCGCTGTACGTGGTACGGATGATATTCTTCTTTTTGGAGAATACTGTGTGCTGTGCTCTTCGGTATCCCCGTATCAGCTTCTATTCCTCGCACAGAGATGCTTGGATTTGCCGACACCGCCTCTAAAACTTCATCGCGTATGAAGTCATTTACGGGTCGTCCTTCACCAGCTACTTGATTGGGGAACCGCCCGTCACATAGTGATCTGTGCACATTAATGAAAACTCGATGGTCGGGATATCGCGTAGCCCTCGGATACCTTTCTCTGTAAAGTCTCGCTGCAGCTCGTCCATTACCTCTACATTCTCCATAAATGTAGTGCATATTTGCGTATTCTTGCGGAGTGTAGGTCGCCATGGTAGCACACACAAAACACAAACTGTCCAAACACAGGCAAAGGTCGTCGTAAAGAGTTCGTTTCAAAGTCCAGAGCACAAAGAGTAATCGAGTCCAATATACAAAGCTTTAAATCGTAGTACGTGATCAATGGTAACAATAAGAGAGAGGTGCGTAGTAACGGCAGGAGGCAGTGACGCGTACTGACCGTACTGTTATCCTAAATAGCACGATCCCAGATAGCGTCACTATCTATCTCACTCGCACCTCTAACCTTTTTCTCCCTCACTCTTACCTGAATAATGGGGTACCATAAAGAAGAACCAGCAAATCGCAAAGATAGTTTCTGTCTTGCTCCCTCCTGTTGTAATAACGAATCACTATGGTGAGATGCATGCACATACCGTCCCTTACGGTCTAACCTGTTTTTTGAGAGGCCTGTTGTTATTTTTATGAGCATACAATAGTAATTCTTTAGAGGTTAGATTCAATTCGTCGTAAATTTTTCTTTCTAAGAATTCTGTAAGACATCGTAAAAATTGGGTTGTTGAGTAAAAATATTATCAAAAATTTTTTTTTTCAAATTAATGTGTAAGTATTATACCTTTTTAAAAAGAGGAATAAACGCGTCAAAATTTGACGTCACTTGCCATACTATTTTGGTACATTTTTTTTACACTACAGTCGGTCAAAGTTGCGAAATTCAATAGTTTTCCATATCACCTTTAGTTAAAATAATATTTTATTTTAAAATGGTACAATAAGTACTTTATTTTTACATTCTATTTAGACACAGCAATACCCTAGATTACAAAACCTCCAAGAAATATCGAAATTATCAGCATTAGCAGTCACAGCATTCAAAAGTATGTCACAGGGTGCTCATTTCCCCTTTTTTTTTGAAATCAGTATAATTCTGTAAGTACATGGGGTGGATTTTTTAAAATATTTTTCTGAGTACTGTTAGAACTTGGGGCATCGTGGGAATCCAGTTGGACGCCAGGTTCTTGGACACCCTGTATAAAGCTGAAGCTGAATCTGTTTGTTTGTCGTTAAGCCCGAATTGAACTTTTTGTGTTAGATAGTCTATTTATCGAGGAAGGTGATAGGCTTTAAAATATCATGCTATCTATAGGATGCGGACAGACTACTCGAATGCCGCAATAGACCTATGTCTTTTACATACCGGCTATCCAGACATTGTGAAACATGCCTTAAATGAAATCGTTATGGGCCGGATATTGAGATGAAATCTGGGAAGGACCAATGTGACCTTTTCCGAGTTATATGTAATTTCTAAAATTATTTAGACACTATACAAGCAGCGTGGTGATTAAAGCTCATTCTTTCTCTGTATGAGAAGGGCTTTGCTCAGCAATGGACACTTGATGAGTATAATGATGAATATTTCCAGGGTGGAGATCTGTAACTTGAACCCTGACTCCTTGGACCCCGAGGAATGTCCCGAAGGATGCACCAAGAAGTGGGAGATGTCCGTCTTCGAGGGAGAGTGGGTTCGAGGTAATGTTCATAATTCTATTTTTATAAACCTGATCATTTTTTAAATCGCATAGGGCAACTGTTGTATATAAATAAAGCACGTTAGATTACTTTATCTGTTTATTATATGCTAATTGATACGCATCACAGACCGAGGCAGAGAGAGAGAGAGAGAGAGAGAGAGAGAGAGAGAGAGAGAGAGAGAGAGAGAGAGAGAGAGAGAGAGAGAGAGAGAGAGAGAGAGAGAGAGAGAGAGAGAGAGAGAGAGAGAGAGAGAGAGAGAGAGAGAGAGAGAGAGAGAGAGAGAGAGAGAGAGAGAGAGAGAGAGAGAGAGAGAGAGAGAGAGAGAGAGAGAGAGAGAGAGAGAGAGAGAGAGAGAGAGAGAGAGAGAGAGAGAGAGAGAGAGAGAGAGAGAGAGAGAGAGAGAGAGAGAGAGAGAGAGAGAGAGAGAGAGAGAGAGAGAGAGAGAGAGAGAGAGAGAGAGAGAGAGAGAGAGAGAGAGAGAGAGAGAGAGAGAGAGAGAGAGAGAGAGAGAGAGAGAGAGAGAGAGAGAGAGAGAGAGAGAGAGAGAGAGAGAGAGAGAGAGAGAGAGAGAGAGAGAGAGAGAGAGAGAGAGAGAGAGAGAGAGAGAGAGAGAGAGAGACTACTTGACGTAGTAGACAAGAAGCGAAGCGAAGACACGTTCATACTAACAACAAGTAACGAGCAGACGGATTATTTGATAGCAAGCAATCAGCGCCGCCCATGAGCACGCGTAACATCGTAGAAGTTATAATAAACAAATAACTTGTTATTTAACACTTTGGGGATTATCGTTTTATGGATTCGGCCTCTAGTAACCTCCTCACACGGTATAATATACCGCAAGCATTATCTCATGCCAGTCTCTGACTCTGTTCGACTGTGCCATCACTCCGGTCCAGACCACGTTTGGTGCTCAGAGTGTCAACACGAACAACTGTCGCATTCGGAACGTAATACCATCGACCGTGTATGGCGCTCGCATTGCTTGGTTCACTGGACCCGGCCAATCGCTAGTGTCGAACGCGTTTAATACTTTTACGTACGAATGCGATACTTATTCGTGCTTAGCACTCTTGATTGGCCAGCTCCTAGGAACCAACCAATCAAAACGCTAAATGCTGTTTCTTTTTTTTATGACATAAGCCGGTAAACGATCAGACGGATCACCTGATGGTAAGCAATCGGCGTCGCCCATGGACACCTGGAACACCAGAGGCGTTGCAAGTGTGTTACTGGCCTTTTGGGGATTAGGAGTTTGAGGATCGTGGGGGATTCAGGAATTGGAGAGATTGGGGAAGGGGAGGGTAATTGGGCCTCCGGTAACCTCACTCACGCGACGAAACACAACGAAAGCGTTGCTTCTCGTCGGTTTTCTGTGAGGCCGTGGTATCACTCCGGTCGAGCCGGCTCATTCGTGCCGAAGCATGGCTCTCCCACACTTTTTTTTATTACTTTTTGATTAAAGAAACTAAGGCCTGAATAAAATACTCTACTATATAGAAAGCTAGTGTAACATTATAGTATGTCTTTTCCAGGTGTAACGGCGGGAGGATGCAGGAACTACCTGGAGACGTTCTGGAAGAACCCGCAGTACACCGTCACTCTACACGACGTCGACGAGGGAGACGAGGAGAACAAGTGCACTGTGAGATACTTACTTATGTATTTAAAAACTAATTAACTCGTCGAGTACCGGTTTTGTAGACACAATTATAGAACAATAAGTTGCGGTCACCGGTGACCGCTTGGTGTTTGACAGTTTAATAGGATAGAATATAACTTTATTGTACACCATTAATAATATAAATAAATAAAAATAATAATGGGTACAAAGGTGGTCTTATCACTTATAGTGATTTCTACCAGACAATATTTGGGTATATATAATGAAAAGAAATATTTAGACGGGTTGTATTAATGTACACAATTTGATTAAATAATGGCACTAAAGGCGAACTGAATGACATAAGGCATCTTACTTATGTATTATGATTTACTATCTCATATTACGTCGTAATTTTGCTGCGTCAAAACGCATACTTATTTCTTAAAAATTCGCTATTTACGCCCGTCTAGGTATATCATCTGATTGTACACTTTGGACTACTAAACAAAACGAAAAATGTAATCTATTATACAATTAAATGATCTAAATATGTAAAGCTAACAATAATATCTCCACCCACAGATCATCGTGGCTCTGATGCAGAAGAACCGTCGTTCCCAGCGGCACCAGGGCCTGGAGTGCCTGACGATCGGGTTCGCGGTGTATCGCCTGCCCGACTACGGGCACGTGCCCAAACCACTCGACGTCAACTTCTTCAAGTACAACGCGTCCGTCGGACGCAGCCAGGCCTTCATCAATCTACGAGAAGTTAGCGCTAGGTAAAGATAAACATCACTACATAGTATTGTGGCGACACATGGTACATGTCTACGGATGACGTCATTAAATCCTACATTGCACATGCGAAGTTTACAATGACTGCACGGTTGGTGCGGTGGCTGGGTAACTGGCTGCCGTGCAACATGTCGCTAGTTCTATTCCCGCACGGAACAACACTTTGTGTGATCCACAAATTGTTGTTTCGGTGTCATTGTGTATGTGAACTTGTATGTTTGTAAACGCACCCACGACATAGAAGAAAATCCTAATGTGGGGGTAAAGTTTTTTTAAAAAAAAATCGAATTAACACGAGTAGAAACAACTGTTGGGCAGAAAGCCCGCCAGGCACGATCACCTCGCCTGGTCGGAGGGTCCTCCTTTTCCGATCTTATGGAACTATACTCTCTGTTCCCTAAAGTATAAAACAAAGTTGCTATCTGCCGTCTCTCTGTCCCTATGTATGCTTAGATCTTTAAAACTACGCGTCGGATTTTGATGCGGTTTTTTTAATAGATAGAATGATTCTTAAGGAATGTTTATGTGTATAATACATGTGTATTGCACCCGTGCGAAGCCAGGGCGAGTCGCTAGTTATTCTATATAGTGACGAGTTATACCTAACTTAAGTGTAACACTATTAGTTCAGTAATTTGCTAGTTTTACTGGGAATGTTTTCCGTGAGTTTTAAAAATCGGCAATTATGTAGATTTAGATGTGCTCTTTTTGATTTCCATTTTACACGTTTGTACGTGCGCCGCTCGCGCCGCTATCTTGGAAAAATGGCGGCCAAAAACAGTTTTTTATAATATCTCTTTTCCTGTGCATTTTACGTGAAAACCGTTAAGTAAAAAATTAAACTACTCGAAATTTTCTACAATAAAACTAAATGATGGCAATAACTTATTATGAGAAAATACACGATACAATTTACAAAGTATCATTATTTCCATTTTTCCAGGTTCAAGTTGGACCCAGGCAGCTACGTGATAGTTCCGTCCACCTTCGATCCTGATGAGGAAGGAGAATTCCTGCTTCGAGTCTTCTCTGAGAAGTCCAACAACATGGCGTAAGTAGCACCACACACCGTACTACCGCGCGACTACTCAAAGGCTACTCAATTTTAATTTGTAGTCTAAATATCGTGCCATCTCTGTCATTTTACAAAGAATTTGTAGAGACAGAACTACCTCTATACTTAAGCGCGACTTAAAATTGAGTGACGTTTGAGTATTTTGACATTAGCAAATCTGAAAAAGCTTTTTCCGTCCTAGATATAGTAAAATGGTTATCTAATTTAGTATAATTCGTTGCTTACAGAGAAAACGACGAGGACATCGGTATGGGAGATGTCGATGATCGGGTGAGTCACATTGATTTAAACCGTTTATCTCTAGTGTCTATTTTTTTATATCACTACATAATATAAAACAAAGTCTGTCTGTCCCTATGTATGCTAAGATCTTTAAAACTACGCAACTCTTCTTTCTTCTGTATAATACATGCATATTGCACCCGTGTGAAGCCGGGGCGGGTCGATAGTAACTATATAAGACACTAACTTCTATCCGCGGCTTTGCCCGCGTCTTTCCCGTGGGATAAAAAGTACCCTATGTGTTATTCTAGCCTATAACTTATCCCTGTTCTTAATTTCATTCAAAGATCCATCCAGATCCATGATCACAAAAAGAAAATAATGTAATAAAATAAAAATTTGTTGTAACTTAAAATTACGAATTACACACGTAAATGTATTTAGAAAAGCTCTACTAGTTTCGAGTCACAGAGGGACTCTTCCTCATGAATAGCGTGCGCGGACGCGGCGATGTCGCGCATTAGGCTGCTCGAAACTAGTAGAGTTTTTCTCACTTCTCAGTATACAGGGTGAAATTTTGTAATGCACCTGAAGGGGAAGTACTGTTAATACTTTAGATAAAAAAAATACTCAAACAAAACATTCCTTTATTTTTGAATAGAAACAAAACCGCATTTAAAGATTTTTAAAATTTGCTTGCCGCACACGGTAATCGAACCGACTAAAATCTGTAAAAGTTGCACTCTGTACATTTATTGCATCGATTGTTGGGAATGATTTCTTTGGGTAAAATTGTCTATCTTAAGTATTAAGAATACTTTCCCTTCAGGTGGCATTACAAAATTCCACCCTGTATATACGTGAGTAACCTGCCATTTTAGTTAGTTCAGTATGTCTCACGATAGTTATTATATAATTATTATTCCTTGTCCAGGTGAAGGAGATAGCCCCGAACCCCGAGCCCGCAGACCCAGTACGCGAGCTGTTCACGAAGCTGGCCGGCGCCGACGGCGAGGTGGACTGGCAGGAACTCAAGGAGATACTCGACTACGCCATGCGGGAAGGTACGTCGGACTATTTATTATATTTGGTAAACATATACACGTACGAAGATATTTCTTATTTATTTACATAGCTTCACTGACAATTCAAAAGTATCTAAGGGTTCGTACACAAAACTGCGATGCGGCGTCGCATCGCAAAAAAATGCGAGCTCCCTCTACGCATCGCAAGAACTTGCGAATTGATTCGCATCGCGCATCAAAGTCTTATCTTCCCAAAATCTTTTTTTGTTTCATTCCTATTTCTCCTACAGAAGTGCACAATTCTTTTTACGATCCATGTTAGAACCTACTTTCCAATTTAAAATACGTTTAGTACGGTTGACGGTCGTCGAAGAAATGGTCACCCTAGGAGACACCTTGTCGCACGAAATCGCATCGCAGCAATTCGCGTCGTAATTTTCTGCGTTGCGAATTCGCATCGCAGTTTTGTGTACGAGCCCTAAGGATTGATTGAAATAAATACTTTGACTTATTTTATATTGAGACTAGTTACTCCCGCGCGGTTTCACTCGCTCTGCTGAGCTTCTATTGGTCGTAGCGTGATGTTTTATAACCTTGATAAATCGACTGTCCAACACAAAAAGACTTTTGCAAATCGAACAGTAGTTCTAGAGATTAGCGGGTTTAGGCAAACGTTGTTTTTACCGGTATCGCAACTGGCACCAAATGCAAGATTCCAACAGTTATCACAGAAATAAAAAAAAATCTAAGTCACATAAAGTAAGGTGGATTTATTAAGAGCACTAGGTTCGTCAAAAACGACATTCTTTTAAAGTTAAAAAAATAGTATTAATTTTAAACTACAACCTTAGTTTCTTAGGCACTGCTTTTTTATTATAAACGCTAACTAGCTAAGTATGGCGTTCGTATTCAATTAATTTGAAACTAGATTGTTTTTTTATTAAGAAAGTAAAGCTTTTTTTACTTTGACTTTGAAAATAAGAACTTGAGAAACGGTTTTAGGGTACATTTTTGTGTAGCTTACTGATGAATAATGCAATTTTGTCTTAATAACGTAACTAGCGAAATTAGGTACAATTTTACACCTTTGCTTACGACAAATAAAGTTATGCTAACAATTCAACAACAATATATATAAATATTATTCAAGTTAACACAAGCTACTTATTGAAATACTAAATATAATTTACAGCCAATCTCGACATCCAATCAGAGGATATCGTGACTCTATTTTTCAAGAACCAAGGGGCTTACTCTTGAATCCAATAACGATCGATCGACATTGGTATTGTTAAATTTCGTACTCTCGAGTTGCAACACCAGCTCCCATATACATCCGTATTGCGTGGATATTGAATGAACTAAATAGTACTGAGTTAGGTTTTATATTCCGTACTCTGAACGCTAATTTGACAGATACGATTGTAGTTGTTTAGTGTTGACATTGAATATTTATTGAGATTTTATTGAAATTGCATAGACATTGAGGTTGATTTCAAGAGTAAGCACTCAGATCTCCGAACGCAACCGAACCATTTAGTTTATAAAATATCCACGCGATACGGATGCAATGGGTGCCAGTGTTGCAATTCAAGAATATGAAATTTGACAATATTAATGTGCATTGTGCATCGATCGGAATTGGATGCAAGAGTGAGGCTGCAGAATTGAAATCGATTAATATACAGAATATACAGGAGTAGCAATAGCAACGCTTAGAGTGAAGCTAATTTATTTAATTCTCATAAATTACATATTAATTCTATAATCAAGAAATGAATCTTACTACACAAATATGATTTTATTTTCAAAAGCTTATTATTTCATATTTCAATGCAAATACCGTTTTTATTCTACATTGCATGAACAAGTCAATAATCATATTATGAAATATTGTGATTAACTTTTTTATTGTATTGAAGTATGAATTTGATGTAAGAGATGATAGGTGGAAATCAGAGCCGTATTATCCCTAAGGCAATGTAGGCAAGTGGCTGGGTGCCATGATGCCGCGAGAGGCTCGTGTCAATAGGGGAGATGCCTAATTTTTATTTTAATGTCCGTCTGGTAGATTATTTTAAGTCATTACACACGTATTTTTTATTTTCTTACAGAAACGAATACTTTCGACGATACATTGATTTGAAATGTCGCATGACGTCACTTCTATGTACATTTTATACATAGAAATGACGTTTTAGCCCCCACTCCTAAACTTTGATTCGCTTTATCTAAGTATTGTTTTATTATACGACAAAATAAAAAATACGTGTCTAATATTTTTTCGTTACCTAACTTACGGACTGATTAGATTTTTAATTTTCGTACCCCGTCATCATCCCAATTAAGTGACGGGGGCGCCAAAAAGAGTTAAAGGTGCCTAATGTGCCTATGGGGTACTATCCTAGGACGCTCTCTATGTTTAATCCGACTCTGATATAAATAATATAATGTGTATGTGTATATTTTCATTATAAAATTATCCCTAAAATGCCCATTTTTGAGCTTCTCAATGTGATAATGCTTTGTGTCGAGTTAAACGCAGCTTTCGTTTCGTTCCGTTCCGCTAACCGCGCCAAGGTATAGTATATGTAAGTATTATAAAATATCAGATAATTATTCTATTGTAGCATATTTTTATTTAATTTAGATTTTTTTTCTTTATTTACTGCACTTTATTATTTTGGTAGTTATTTATTTTATTTAGACTTTGTTTTGTTTACAAAATATATTGCATTTGCTTTTTAAGTAGTATCACTACTCACGAATATTTTTATTATATTGATTATATAATTTTGTATATAATTATATTATGAATGTTGTCTAAAATCCCATGGTATATTATAAAATGATAATACAAGTAATCTTACGTTTTAGTTAAGTTAGTATGTTAATAAAATCACAATCGTAATTAACATTATAAATAAAATGAGGTTATTTATGTGTATACTTGTATAGACGTGATAATATAAATAATATTATAATTTCCCCTCAGCTCAAATTACTTGCTTGCTTTCAAAAAAAATGATCGAGAGAAGCGACCAAGTGATCTGTGTGCTCGTTTTGCTCGTCTTCCGAAAATTACAAAATTTTAAAAAGTTGTCAAGAAAATGATTAATAACAAATACACTTCTAAAATTTAATATTAGTCAAAAATACTATCAACTTCTATACAGAGTAACCTCATCCATCTAAAAATATAGATAGACTTAGACATAGGTTAACATCCCTACAGAGCTAGCGATGAGGCAAGGCGGAGCTTACGACGGCGGCGGAGGGGGAGTACACTACTCCCCCCCGGGGGGAGGGGGAGGGGGGAACGAGCCAAGCTGTCTGGAACAACTACTCTGTGCCCTCTGCACTCCCATCTGCAAGGAAATTGGAGTCGACCTGCAGCAAATGCAGCAACAGAACCAAAATCAAGAACAGGTGCATCTTACTCAACCACAGCCGCAAACAGGTATTAACTTGTTTTCAAGTGTAAAGGGGTCGTATATCACTGTGTGATATTTAAGGGGTCGTATATCAGTGCTGTTAGATATGTAAGGGGTCATGTGCCACTGTGATATTTAAGGGGTCGCATGTCACTGCTGTGTGATAGATGACCCCTTAAATATCATCTATCACTGTGATATTTAAGGGGTCGTGTTTCACTGTGATATTTAAGGGGTCATTTGTGCTGTGAGATAGGTAAGGAGTAGTGTCACTATTTAACAGGTGTTTTCATTATATGTATATTTTAATGTTGTGTCTGTTTGCCTCAGTTGAAGCGTCTTTAGAATGGGACTAATTAGATGATTTTGTTGATAAAGGGAAATTTTGGAACGCTTTTGAAGTAAGTCTTGTGGCGATATATTTCTTGCATACAATAATAAAATTATAAGAACTCTAACTGATAAAAGAGTTACAAATCAGTGAGATATGGGGGTTTTGGTAACACAATTTTGCACATGCATAGGACGGTTAGTGGCAAAATATGGGGGTTTTAAAAAAGCTAACTTTTGGGATTTCTTTGTTTATAAAGGGTTAGTTTTTAAGTGTTTTGTGAAATTTTTACTGATTGTTAAGATTTTTTCCAGGTCTGCCGAGAAGCTGTTGCATGCACCGCTTTACTTACGTCACACGTTTTATAGAAATGGAGGGCACTATTTAAAATGTCTGTTTTTGTCAATATTTTCATGTAAATACATTATTTTTAGATTTTCCTTTTTTGTTCTTTATAATTTATATTTTTTTCAGGTTACCATGGACACCGATTTCTGTTATTTTTGTTTCGTCCATAGATAAATGTGGAATATTGTGTTGTCTGTAACCGATATTTGGCATTGTCTATGCTACAAAGCTTTTTGTCACTAACACCGAGAAAGAAATGTAGGAATTTTCAAAAATTCACGTTTTTGGAAATTTGTACATTTTTTTAGCTTCTTGCATGTTTTTTTTACGTTGGGACTTCAACGAAAATGGGCATTTTAAATGTAGTTTTCATATTATTGTTATTATTACGACGTCGTAGGTAATTAAGTCACCTCCATTTCCATAAAATATTTGCTAAGTTTTTTGCTCTTTAATGTTATATTGAATTCAGGTTTTTATGGAAAAAGCTCTTTATTTCTCATAAAAATATGACATTTACATAATTATTTTAAACTACCAAAATCTATAATGGTGGTATACCTAATACGGTGGTATATATACTACCGTATTAGGTACGATGGGATTGGCGTATCCTCATGGATAAAAACCCCGTATTAACTCGTGGAGTACCGTCAATATAGACACAATTATAGAACAATTGGTTGCGGTCACCGGTGACCCCTTGGTGTTTGACAGTTTAATTACATGTAGAATAAAAAAAAAACTACCAATATCGTAATTATAAGAAACCAGCTACTTTACTTACTACTGTCCAGACGTAGGCCATAATGTAATGTTTAAATCGTTTCTCGATAAATGGACTGTTCTACTCAACATTTTCAATCAAACAAACAAATGCTAAATTATTTGAAATTAACTGCTTAATGCTTACACAAGTGAACTACTTATTTGAAAAAAACACTAATTTCAAGTTATAATGGGACTCTTATTCATGAGCGACGTGCAAGCGTATTAAAAAGATACAAATCATCATTTAAACATACAGATTATCTAGTATGTCTTACGATAGCTATTAAACAAAAAATAATCTTTTCCATTTAGATATTAACTAACTTCTGCAAGCGGCATCGCCCGTTTTGCCGTAGGATAAAAACTGGCCTATGTGTTATACCAGATCATAATCTATACCTGTTCCAAGTTTCATCTCGATCTCTTCAGCGGTTTTGACGTGATTGAGTAACAGACATACACACAATCTCAGAAACTTACACATTTATATGTAACTAGCGACCCGCCCCGGCTTCGCACGGGTTCAATATTCATGTACTATATAAACTTTCCTTATGAATCACTCTATCTATTAACTCGTTGAGTACCGTCAGTATAGACACAATTAAAGAACTATAGGTTCCGGTCACCGGTGTCCTCGCGGTGTTTGACAGTTAAAAAAAGCCGCATCAAAATCCGACGCGTAGTTTTAAAGATCTAAGCATACATAGGGACAGACAGACGGCAGATAGCGACTTTGTTTTATACTATGTAGTGATATTTATAAGATAGGATAGGAAGTAGTATTATAGTATCGATTTTTCACGAGTTTACAACTTTATAGTTGCCAAACCGTCACGGAGAACCTAACGGGTAACCGGGGCTCCGGTTCGACGTGCAGGAGAAGGAACGGGGTGGTTTTTAGTCAGTAAGCATCTGACACTCCCTCCCGCCTCACCCAGTCGGGAGCAGTCATTTGATGAATTTCCCCCTAAAAAAAAATTGTTGCCAAACCATTTTCCATAAGATCTAAATTCACTGTAACATAAGCAAACAGGTAGTTTCTCTATCTTTATGTATCATCTGACCTTGTTCTTCGCGTTACAGAGCTGAAGGGCCAAGGGTTCTCAAAGGACGTGTGTCGCAGTATGGTCGCTATGTTGGACAAGGACGGCTCTGGTGGACTCGGCTTTGATGAGTTCAAGACTTTGTGGATTGATCTACGTAATTGGCGGGTGAGTGAACGCAATTGTAGTTTCCATATCCGTCTACATAATCAAATGTTTTTAGTAACCATCAGCTCTTGAGTTAAATCTAAGACGAATAAATATATAAACTTTACGATGGTGGTCCTTTTTGAGTATTATTTATAATGCGATGTATAAATATGTTCGCGTGTCGCTGCAGGCGGTGTTCCGTCTGTACGACACGGAGGGCCGCGGCGCGCTGCCCCCGCAGCACCTGCGCGACGCGCTGCACTCCGCCGGGTACACCGTCAACGCACACGTACTCAACGTACTCGCGCACAGGTAACTACATACCGCCTACACCCACTCCTTGTTCACTGACACAGTACCTACGAATTGGTGTCATTTTTAGAGCTATTCCACAACCCAGGGTCTCAGATACCACGCCTGTCTCCTATGAGAGTGGGCAGAGACTATGGAATGCAATTGCTACGATGGTTTGGGCATATAGAAAAGATGAATGACAGTAGAGTAACGGAAATTCTTTCGTTACTGGATAAATCTTGTGAGACATTTAAATTTATTATAAGAGTAGGTAATTGCGTACTGGCCTATATTCATGAGCAGCATTGTACGACACATGACGTCACGAATGCTTCTCGTAATTATGTGCCTTGGTGAAGCCTGAAGTTAGTTCGTATATTAGTGATTGCATTTTTCTATTGTATTATTATATTAACATACTTTCGTTCTGTAGATACAGCTCACAAGACGGATACATTCAGTTCGACGATTTTATAATGTGCTCCGTGCGATTGAAGACTATGATCGGTAAGTTGAAAACTATATTATAATTATATTATTTTATAAGTTGAAGAAAATTCATTGTAAACATTTTACAAATTGTTTAAAAAAAATATTTTGATTAAAAATAGACTGAATAAAAATTTAAGAATTTAATACAATTATACTATAATATTTGGTAATCAGTTAACCCCTTATGCAATGTGTAGGGTTCGATTCCCCCGTCGTCTTAACATATTTATTTCAGTTTTGAGTGATGTGTTTTGAAGTTTTGTTTGAATAAGACAAGAGATATAACTTTTATGCTAATGTTAAATTGTAAATAAGAAGGATGATGTATCGGTAAAATTTTATATACATATAACTACTATTTAATTATATTATCAGTTGAATTTAACCTTTATGTCATAACAATGCTTATGTCATGTGATTGTCATCGAAAGTCAATGTAGTAATGAGTCCTGTGTGATTTATTGTCGATTATTAATATGAGGTAGGTCTAAAACAATTGTACAGTGGGTTCACTTCCCACACGGACCAACTCTCTGTGATCTACAAACTGTTTCGGGTGTGAAATTATGTTTGTAAACGTACCCACGACACAGGAGAAAATTCTAATGTGGGACAACGTATAGACTTTGGTAATAAGAAACGGAGTCTAACGTTTTTATTCTTTTTTATTTCTTGATAAATATTTTCTAATACAAGTATTTTATTAATTGGTAACGTATGTCGTTTAAAAGCAATTTAAAAATGAGAGAAGTTTGTTGTAAAAGAAATAACTTTTTTAAAGTTATAGAAGGTTCCATAAAATTTAAAAAGGGGCTAGTGGCTCGCTTTTTTGGTCCCAAATGTATAAAAATGTATCTGAAACTGCAATTCCAAGTTATTATATATTAATAATAACTGCAGCTAACAACGAGCCGCTTGAGAATCTCGAGCGCGAGCTGCAGTGGAACAAGTGAGCGTCGGCGCCGACATCTGCACAACGTAATATATAATGATTACAGGATATATACGGTCACCCGTCTGCCTGCCACTGTGTCAAACACCATGATATAGGTTGTATTGGGAAATATATAGAAATTACTGGTTTTTTGGTGTGTACAACGTTAAAGGTTGCTAGTTTATTTAGGATTTTTTAATGGGTTAAATCATCGAATGGCTTCTCCCACCCGGATGATATTAATTGACTTGCAAATGAATCAGTAAATAATATAAAAATTTGTGGGCATTGAATCTGAACTTACTTCACATCCCTTGAAGAAATTAAAAAGTAAGATGTTATCTTCTACTCATTATGCGTGTAGACTTTCAATGTTTTGAAATGTACACAAATATTTATGTATATTCTCAGCAACTTTTTATCGTACACACAAAATTATTCACATACTATTTTCAAGGCAATAAATATTTCCCACACAACCTTACAATAAAAGAATATTGTTTGCGATGGTAATACAAAAGTTATATTTATATTTTCCGCTTAAAATGCCAAGAAAGTAAATTTGTATAAAATTATCAACTGAAACTATTCGCAAACAGTACAACGTTTCCACTTCTTTCGGATATTTTACAAGTATCGACATGATTTAAAAATGTTTATCAATCAATATATAAATAGTTATGTTTTTATACGGAAAATACATTGTAAAATGTCCATCGCCGCACTAAAGCTTACTAACTGGTAACGTTAGCACCAGTATCAAACAAAATTGTAATACAAACAATGTTTTTCCACAGATACGTTCAAGGGGAGATCTTCAGGCGGTGAATACGCCACATTCTCCCTCGAAGAATGGCTAAATCGCACAGTCTACGCATAAAACGTCGAAATTATGCCTTATTGTCATTAGAAACAAGGCCTACAATCGCAAAATGTACATTGAAATATTTAAAAACTTATTTCCTCCATTAAATTTTGTATCAAGTACCTTTTGCTAGTGTACGTGAGATTTTATGTCTAAGTCACAAATATTTAATATTAAAATTAAGGTATAATAATTATGGTGACTTAATCCTCTTATACGGGTATAATTAAACCTAACTAAAATACATATTTTTATATTCGCCTATAATCAAAATAGTTTTATGAATAAACAGTATTTTTGTTATCCACCGATTGTCCATTCCAATGTGCTAGAGCGTTTTGTCTATGGTTCATCTATGGTCAAGACGTACCGTGTTTAGTTCTGTGCGATTAGCTAGGAAAGCTTTTTACGTGAAAATTAATATATAATTATATATATGTTGTAATGTAAACATACTACATGTTGCACTCAGTTGCATTCACAATGCATTTTTATATTCGCAAAACATTTATTTATTTTGACATATTTTTTGTTATAAAGATCTGAAATAAAACATTTATTCGTAAAGTATTTTGTTTTATTTTACTCTCAATATTAACCCACTGTTTGTGTATACCAGGTGACTTGTAACTCGACGTATTCCTCTCGGGAGGTGATGATACAACTAATTTCCTACTAAAACTAATTTTGTTTCTGAGTTTGGAAAGTGGCTAGTTCCTGAGATATTCAACATTTTCGGTTTTGGTGAAAATATTCTGATCTAACTACAAAAACAACAATTAATAAAGAACTACTTGTTTGATTTAAGTGATTTTAGTTTTAATTTATTGTCAATACATCAATAAACATTTGTTAATACTAACACTTTCAGAAATAGGATTATTTTTAAAAAAGGGACTAAATTAGTATTAAAGTTTGTTTTCAGGCACTAATTTGGTCAATAGAAACTTAGATTTATTAAAAAAAGAAGATATTATACTAAGCATACAAACTATAAGAAAATCTTCCTTGGTATATTAGCTACCCAAAAACATTAAATCTATGTATGTATAAAAATGAATCCGTTTTTCCGTGGTCACGGCATCACGCGTAGACGGATTTCATTATTTTTTGTTGTATTTGTTATTATTGGGAGAAGGTTATGACTTAAAAAAGTCCTGAAAATCCTACGGGAACAGGAGATAACGAGATTGCGCGTACGAAGTCACGGGCAGAAGCTAGTTATTTATAAAATCCTCAAAAATAAATTAATAAGTTAATGAGTAATTTCAAAAATATCATTATTTACTTAATTTTGTTCAAAATGACCTTATACCCTACCTAAAGTACCCTACGATGAATACGTGCCCGCACTCGCTTATTTATCTCTATGACGGTCAGTCTAAAACTGAATGAGCGTCTTATTTCATAAGGCGCTACAACGATAAGATCCAAGCTTTCTTAGGCGAATTACTGACGGCTGAGAGCAATTTAACCAGGTTATCCTGGTTTACTCAATTATTGTATTATAAACTATCAGAATATCCATTTGCAGTCCCAAAAAAGGCAATCAAATTCAAGAAAAGCAAAACCTATAGGTTCCCTATGAAGGTATCCACTTAATTGTTTGAATGCGTGCCATTAATAGTTACTTGATTGACCCAATTGTCTTCGTCCAATAATTGAAATGGGGATAAATATGAGAAATTTTAAAGGAATGAGCTGGAAAATGTGGATTTATAAACAAGGAGACGAATGATATTCTAACACGATGGTTGGCCAGCGCAATACCGAATTACTGTGCGGCGATGGCTGGATACCTTAGTTCTAAAGCGTTGAATTGGCAGTGGGGTCAAATTCCATGGCCCACACCATGTCCAGACCTAACACAGGTTGATTTTTACGTGTGCGGTCACATGAAGTCTCTTGTTATGCAACGCCAATTCTGTGTATCGAAATCCTTCGCGGAAAATTAATTGAAGCGGCTGAAGAAGTAAGACGCTCATTCAGTTCAAGAGTGACCGTCACAGAGATAAGAAAACGTGTGCAACATAGGGAAGGTCAACATAACATCACGCCTCTTATCCCCGAAAGGGTAGGCAGAGAGGAGTAGGCCTCTTCTCAGAAACGTCTCCTGAAAGGATTACATCGAGTTACAAATCACCTGTATAAACATCTACTTAGTCCGCCAATCAGATCTCATAAAATTAAGATAACTTAACTAAAATCTTTGCAAGAAAAATACGCACTTTTTAATACCTACACTTCTTACTACGTATGCTATCAAGTCCTGGTACCTCAGAGCAAATATGACATTATTTTTGTAATAATGAAATTACTGTTCCTATAGTGAACGTTTATTTATTTATGGTATAGAACGGCAGACGAGCTAACGGATCACCTGGTGTAAAGCAATCGGCGCCGTCACACCAGAGGAGTTACAAGTTCGTTGCCGGCTTTTTGGGTTTATGGATTTAACAATTATATTTCAAACACAAGATAAATATGTCTAAAGTTATTTATTAACTTAAATATATAAGTTTTCTAAATACACATTATGAAATACAAAATCTTATTCCCGCTCTCGGTGCACGTGTACTTGGCTTGTAATGATTACAAAGTTTCATCATCATTCCACTCGCCGGTCTGAACTTCTGCCATTTCTTCTTCCTGAGTATCTGCCTCTTGACTGGCAGAAAGGATGGAATTCGGCGACTTATACATGGGTAGGTCTGACGGCCGTATTACCAGCTTGGCACCGTCTGTGAAAAAATAACAAATAAATAAGTTGTCAGAGCCGTATTGTCCCTAAAGCTCTAGACAGATGGACCGCATTTGAACCGCAAATTGCAATTCGGATGTAGTTTGAATATAGTTGATACGATTGGAATAGAACTGCAAACGGACTGCGCGTTCAATTGCAGTCGTGACAACTGCATCCAAACTGCAATTTACGGTTATATTGTGGTCCGTCTGCCTAGAGCCTAAGGGCACTCTTTAGGCCTATGAGTATAGTATTAAACATCATTTAGCTTAATTTTGTCACTTCCCCTATTCTACTCGTGTGTGTCGTATGAGTCACCTAAGGGACTACATATTTTAACAGAGAAAGGTCAGCAGTTTTCTCTGACAAGTGTGATGCTTTTAAACTTGAACTTTCTTTTATAAATCCCTCTTTTGTAGAGGAGACCATACTGTAGCAGTTGACTCAACTGTCAGCAGTACTACTGCTGTAGTCAACCACAAGACTACTGCCTCACATAGGCCTCCCCGATGATATTCAAACCGATCGGTTGGAACTGATCTGCATCCAGCGGCTCCCTATGACGTTAATTTCAATCTCCAGGACGACCAAAAAAAAATACACACATACAAAAACACACTTGTAAATTATTATTTCTATAACTTACTGCAAATATGGTATGTACTTAATATAATACTAACTGAGAACAGTGCCATCCATGGCCATGATAGCGGCATAGTTGGAGGGCGGCACGCCGAAGAGCAGCAAGTTGAACATGCGCTCCGAACGAATTGTGCGCACTGCTTGGAACCAACGCAAGAACGGCGCCATCGTCTCCTTACCGGGGAGGTACGGCTCGCCGTATATCTGTACAATGTAACATAGTAATATATTAATCGTATTAAACTGTCAAACACCAAGCGGTCACCGGTGACCGCAACCAAGTTCTATAATTGTGTCTACAAAACCGGTACTCGACGAGTTAATATTATATATTTTTTTTTGTTGACGTTCATAAGTACCTTTCTAGTCTAATAGAATATAAATGCGAAAGTCTATGACTTTGTGCTTGTGTAAGTAAGTCTGGTTTGGTTATTACTCTGTCAGGTCTTTTTTTTTTTGGGTCAAGCCCGCCACAACCTCCCAATACCGCTGCAACTCCTGTAAGCCAGGATCTACAGTAGATACAACCACGAAAACACCGGAACACTGAAGTCCGGCGCGTCCCAGGGACATGAGTAACTGTCTTGGTTCCCGCAACGAAGTGAATCAGAAGATATTATGTCAGGTCTGTGTTTGTTACTCACGTCAACAGCCTATAAATGCCTACTGCTGAGCAAAGCCTTTGCTCACATGAAGAAGGTTTGAGCATTAATCACCACGCTTGCTCAATGCGGGTTGGCGATTTCAAACTTATAAATTTCTCAGAAACTAACCACTTTCGGACTAACTTTTGAACCCGCACCCTCATTCATGAGAAGCGGGCGTCTTAAACCTCCGGGCCAACACTACATTGTTTGTTTGTTACTCATTACGTCAAACTGGCTGAAGGGATGGGGATGACATTTGTAACAAGAATAGATTATGGTCTGGAAGAACACATAGGCTACTTTTCATCCCACGGGAGCGTGGGCGAAACACCTGATAGAAGCTAGTATAAAAAAAATGGTTGCCTGTAAAGTCGTTTTTACGGGCGAAGATTTTACGTGACAACGTCTTTTTCTCGGTAGAATATTTATTGATATGAATATAATTAAATTGCACAATAGGAACAAGGAATTGAATGAACTAGTGCTGCGCGCGCGGCAGACCGATCATAGTTGAGTGGGAGAGAGACGCAAGGCATTCGGCGGGCCTCTCTCTCGTTCGGTGACTCATCGTAACGTTACCGAGCGTTACACTTTTTCATAAGTGACTCCCAGCCGCAACCTAATTTAAGACGTTGTCACGTCAAAAATATATGCTTTTAGTCCGAGCATAAAATATGATATAGTAATGTGTGCAGTGGTTGGGCAACTGGAATGGCAACGTCCCACAAATTTCCCGCACGGAACAATACGTTGTCTGATTCACAATTGTCTGTTCCGGTACTAGTATGTTTTGATACAGGAGCAATAATATAAATATTGCGTTCATATTCAAACAGTAGGTGATTATTGCGTATTGAAATTATAAACATAGAAGTTTACACGATCGTTAAAGATCGCATTAAATTATTACTCACCCGTAACTTATAGTAGCCAGTCTTTTGTGGAATGAAGTGTTTGCTCACAACTTGCTTCACGATCTATACAAAACAAAACAAATAAATAATGACTTAAATAAATATAACCAAAAGCTTCTTTTTAAATATATCAATCACGTAATAATCTATCCATCATACATCATTAATTTGCTCATCCTTGTTGCTTTCAATCATGGATGGAACTACCTCGTTGACCGAGTGGCCGCAAGTACTACTGCCGGGCAAGGGTCTCGGGTTCGATTCCCGGGTCAGGTAAAGTACTACTGGATTTTTAAAAAATTCTTAGTGGTAGCACGGAGTCTGGAACTGTGCCCGGTATATGGCCAAAGGCTCACCCCCTATTACATGGGACTCATAACATAAATAGCGAAAAGTGGGTGTTACATTGTACAGTGGCATTAAGTGTCGTAATATGCACCTCTGCCTAACCTTTCGGAGATAAAAGGCGTGATGTTATATGAAACATCAACATCCATCAAATGGGTTCGACATACCATGGACAAGAATGGCGTCATCTTCTTGAGTTCCTCTCGAACTCTCTTCCTGACCACTTCGTCTTCTGTGTCGGTGCTCGTCACCTCAGATTTGAGATTTTTCACGTGTTC